AATCAGATTCATTTGAGGTCACTTCACCCAGCAGCTGCGTCGTTCTGCAGCTAAAGAGTTTAGAAAATAAGATCTTTCAATGCAAGAGGCATTTTGATTAAATCATACTGGAAAACTGTATTGAATGAAAATTTAATTGGAAGTGATTTCATGGGTAAAGTTTATTAACATACCTTATATAATATATAATATACTCTGTTAACTATGGAGGACCAGGGATGTCACAGGAAAAGTGATTAAGCATTTCCTTTATTTCATATTTTAATAGGCATTAAAAAGAGGAATTGTAAAAAGAATTTATAAATGAACTATTAATCCATCAATAAATCAGATTTAAAAATTGATTTACAAAACCAGCATAAAACACTCTTTTAATAAACCATTTAGAAATACATTAATTTGTTCATGAAAAATACTAGAATTTTAAAAATGGAAATAAATAACTGGATTTCCTTTTCATTTTCCATTTCCTTTTTCCTATTAGCTAATCGATCAGCTGAAGTTAATATATATCTGATCAGTGAGGTATTGTAAAGGAGGAGAGGGTGTTAGTTACATTGGGAGCTGTGAGTCCATCAGTTGGTAGATGAGATGTTTATCTTTCCCGTCTCACGATGTTCCCATGATGCTGCAGGGGATGTGGAGGTGGTGAATGGTATCGCAGCAGGAAATAATGTCAAGCTGGTGCCTTACGTCTTCCCCGACCACATGGAGTTTGTGGAGCTGAGCTTCACGCTTGGAGAAACCAGCACAACGGTTCGCACCAAGAAGCCGCTGGACGCAGACGTACTGGCAGGGGTGAGTAACAACAACTTTGTCGCCTAGGAAATAAGTTTTTTATATTATTTATTTGCTGCAGAACGTGTTTTCCATCAACATAAATGGGAAAGTTAATAAATGTATCTACAAAACATTCATCATGTTTCAATAGTTTATCCACTCCAGCAAAACAGTATCTTCTGATGCCAACTTCAGCATGAATACGATTGTTGTGGTTCTGTTTAAATACTCATCAGAGGAAGTTAAATGTTGAAGAAGTCCCCATTGACTTGCAAAACCAGACATATCATGTTTAACTGAAACCCAACATCTCCCCAACGGTAACGTTCCTCTCCAGACATGTTTTCAACTCTGTAAAAATACTCTGCTATGAAAAAGTTTTGTTTAACATGGTTTTCACTAGGGCTACATGATTGTGATTGTGATATACAATAGTTGGAATGGTGAATTCTGCATTTTCATTTTCACTGAAGAAAAATAAAAAATTATGATGATGTGATTTTTGTTGGTCTTGTACCAAACAAACATGTTTTCCTTTACATCTGGAGGATATGATTTATTGACCAGGGCGTCTCTGTAGCACCAGAACAATAATGGTGCTAACAATGCATGACAATGTTCTGACACATTTTACCTTTATCAAAAAAAACAATTCCAACTCCTGCGTTTTGCATATTGAACTTGGCCAAATTGCGATTTCGGTTGTATTTCTATTAATTGTGCAGCCCTCATTTTCACACATAAAAAACTGGGTCTGAAGCTCATCTACTTCCTGATTGAAAAATCTGGATCAGGCCTTATGCCCCGCCCAACACCTCCTTGCTCCAGGTGGACAGGTGAAAGAGCAGAGAGTATCCAGGCGGTTAGAGGAGGAAACATCAGAGAGACTCAGCCACATGTTTGAGCCTCAGTCAGACCCAGACTCAGATGAGGAGTCTGTTGAGACCAGAACCAGAGACTAGCAGACGGATCAGTTAGCATAGTTAGCATCTTTTATTTGTTTATGTTGTTTGTTAGCTTGTAACTGGCAGTGGCTGACACACACAGTGTTAGCGGTTGTGCTAATGCTAACTCTCGCTCTCTGTAGTGACAAGGTCTCAGGTTTATTTTGCCCCGCCCCCCTTCCCTGAAACTTGACGGGATTGGTTCCTTAGGTTAAATGACATAATGACCGAAGTTTACCTGGAGCTACAGTAATAATAGACTTTATCAGTTAATTGTTATCCTACAAAGCCCCACGGTGTTTCTCAGTGATCTCCACAGACCTGAAGTCCACTGTGTTCATGTCTTACAGAGTGACGGCATCTTGCATTACTCTGTCATGTGTGACGGACAAATAAAGGTGGGTGAAATGATAAAGTTGCAGAATTTATTTAGTAATATTACAAAACAAAATATTTCAAATGATGTTTTATCTTCCCAGTACAACAACACGCGGAAACTGAAAGTCAATGACATCAATGACCACAGGCCAGTATTTGAACAGGATTCCTACAGCACCACCGTCTCTGAGGTAAGTCACTGAAGTCTAATGTAGCCACAGTGACTAAATAATCACAAGCTTCCTCACTGTGTGATTGGAGGAGCAGCTCCCAGACAGTGAGGAAATGGCACACAGTCAACATGCTATACATGAACAGATAACAAAATAAATGCAGCCCATACTTGTACACATGCTTGTTTTCTTCTGGCCCAGTGTACGCTCAGTTCTATGGGCCGAATCTGGCCCATACATGGCTTAATTGTAAGATGCTACTTCCACACATGGACCAATTCTGGCACACACAGAAAATCTTGTGGCTGTCAGTCAATACCAGAAGATAACAGCCAGACTCTGACCCAGACCCAGAGTATGTTGGGCCAGAGGGCTATTTGTAATATGAGCTGTAACCCCATAAAATAATTCAGTGTAAAATGACCCTGGCTTTGGAACTGGGATAAATGGGTAGTCAGCTAATGAATCAGATCAAAATGAAGGTCAGGTTTGAAGGTGGGTGTGGTGCAAGCATGGATGCTGGAAGTAGGGAGGTTGAAAGTGGGGATGTGACCACACCAGTCCGTCAATAATGTAGTTATGACCACTGAGTACTCATAGGTCGTGGCTACTGTGATCTCATCATAAGACGGTCTGTAGTTGCATTTACACTGTTGAATCACTGTTGAACCTGACCTACAAGCTGTGGACAGGAGAATGAGCAAGGGATTAATGTGCAGATTTTGTCTTTGGGTTTAATGTTGGTTTTGCAGGAACTACAGAACATTCGTGTGTATTTATTTATTTCTCTCTGTGTATGTCATTCAGCTTTTTCTTCTTTCAGACACAAAGTGTGAACACCGAGGTTCTTCGAGTGACAGCTGTGGACTTGGACAGCTCCCCAGAAAACAAGACAGCGACATATTCCATTGTAAGGAAATCTAACCTACAATCAATGTTTCCATTTACACCAAATCTGAGAGTAACTGATGTAATGACGACTTTTACCGTTACAAGATGCTTGTAGTAAACAGGCTGACATACAATCATGTTGTTTGTCACTGCACTGTCGAAGCTGGGAGCTGTGCTTGCTAATATTTTTTTTTAATCCTGTCAACAACAGATTATGAGTAAAATAATGATAAATTAAGATATTTTCTGAGAGCTTCTCAAATGAGCCTCTTCCACAATCCAGATTTTGTTATTTTATCTATGTAGAAACACAAATGTACAAAACACAAACAATTAAAGACAACTCATAGGCAGCATTTCAAAAAATAGTTCTTTCATAAATACAGTCATTGCATGACTCCATTACAAAGTTACTAGAGATCATGGCTATACACCCAACCTTTAGCTTTTTGATAATGATTCTTGAAAATAATAAAAAATAGTACAAAAGTTCAAAATGTAAATTAAAATAGTTTAAATAGTTATAGAAAAACAAAACTAGGTCCTAACCTAATATATGGCTGGACTGCCTACGGTCAATGTGCGAAATTGACAATGTAGATGAAAACTGTTGTGGAACCGCTGTAAACAACTGACATCATCGCATCATATTTGCACTCTCCTGCTCTCTCTGCTCGATGTTCATTTATTCCTCTGCCTCCTTTAGTAATATTGATACATGGAATGAAAGTCGTTTATTTGCTGTAATGGAGGCGAGGCACAGTGTATTGGAAGCTCTTCTCTGCTTCCCTGCAGTTCCCGAGCAGCTGGGAAACCAGAGTGGCTCGGTTGACTGACCGTAACAAGGTCGGCATCAACACACGGCCCAGACATGGACCAGGTTTATACCCAGTCCTCTTTGAAAAAGAATCTCCAAATCTAGAGACAATGAGCTAAATTGACAACAATCAGTCACATGGCATTCTGCTGACCAATGGTGGATATATGATCACTCAGTCAGTCAGTCAGTCAGGCACATTCGTGACTGGTTCAGCCAAAGATAAAATTAAAATAATTATTAATTTAGACTGTGTATCTTTGTCAATTAAATAATTAATAAACAGACAATTGTTCTCAATAGTATAAACATGCAGGAAAAGAAAGAGTGATGACCACACTGCCATTATTCCTATGCTTATGTGGTTTGAAATTAAAATCTCTCCAATCTCCAGATAATAGGAAAACTGAAATAAAAAGACACTGTTCCCACTCTGGGTGTCCACAGTTGTTATAATGAGTAAAAATATTCTGTTTGGAAATGTGATGGTAACTTTCTTTCATAAGGCACCAACCTCAGAAGACTTTATGGTGACCAACTCAGGGGCTTTTATTTTGAAGAGACGCTTGAACTACAATGTAGTCCAAAAGTACAACTTCGTCGTGACGGCCCAGGTAAGGAAAAAAATTCACCCTCAACATGTCATTCAAGAATGATTAACAGTCAGTAATAAAAGGAATAAAATAAATTTATTATTTAAGTGGTGGTGTTTTTAAAGTCCAACATAAAAATGAATTAATTGTTTACTACAGGATAAATGGGGGTTGAGTGACACAGCCAATGTGCTGATTAACGTGGAGGACTTTGACAACTTGAACCCCGCTTTCAGCCACAACCTGTACCAGGCTTTTATTCCAGAGAATCAGGTGAGTCTCATAAACTAAATCCTACAATACATTCCTCTCACTGGGGTAATATCTTGGTTTTCATAATGCCAGAAAATGTCAAATATCAAAACGGTTGTGGCAGTGGCTTATTTTGGAGCCTTGTGCCAGACATATTGCCAGTTTGTCTGCCAGCATATTTGGTTGCAAAAATATTGTTAATGCACTTTAATTACCTAGTTTGACGTTTCTTCTCATGAAATAATTGTAATTTTTATAGATAATGTGTGTTTTCTTAAATTTTGACTAATGAATTTTATGTTTCCATGTTACTTTTGAATTTTGATTTACATAATCAAAATTCATAAAAATAACGTATATATTATGCACTACAGGTAGGGTTATTCCGTACCATTCAACCAGAGGCGATAAAGGCTCATGATGGAGACAAGGGGCTCAATGTCACTTTAACTTATAGCATCAGTGCAGGTGAATCAAAGCTCAAACATCTTGAAGGACAACACACGACATACAGTATGTGAAAAAAAAAAAACACTAAATGTTCCTCATGGTTTATGTTTGCAGTGTCTCCAGACATGTATCAAAGACACTTTAACATTGACGCCAGCAGTGGGGTTCTGTCTCTGGTGACCGCCATCGACAGAGAGGAGATGAACAGCAGCGTGATCTCTGTCAGCATCAAGGTAAGAACGTTCATCTCGGCCCTCAGCAGCTCATGATGAAGACAAAAAATATACAGTGTGTGTTCTTCTGAATCTGTGTGTTTCAAAGATTCAGCAAACAACAAAGTCATTTATAGACCATACAGAGGGGGCAGCATTACAAACTCATGTTTACATATACAGTATAGTAGTTGAGACTTTAGGTATTCATCATAAGTGTTTATTTATTGTAGAGTCATACGGACAGACAGAAGAGGTAAAACAGAGAGAAAATGTGGTAAAACTGCTGCTTTTCCACGTGTCAACGGTAGGACATACAGCAATGGTGTATTCAAGGGTAATAATGTGAGACAGAGGCTGGTCACACCTACAACAATCGTTTATGTTTAATCGTGAATGGCAGCACTAACAGCCAGTTTTGTAGCATTCGAGTCCAGTCTCAAGTCCAACTCAAGTAATGATTTTAAGGACTCGTGACTTGGACTTGGAATCAGACTTGAAGAACTCTGAGATTTTTGTTCTTTTGTAATAGGCCATAACATCTTGGCATAAGATATTGATAGCTATATTAATATTGAAACACTGTTCAGTTTCGTGCAAAGGCAGGAATGTTTGTTCACCAACCTACATGTGAATTCATGGGCATACCATCAGTAACAGTTAGTGGTAAAGAGACGCCCCAAATCAACCTTGATGACTCGGACTCGAACACTGGGGATTCAAGACTCGAGATTTAGTGATTCGACTACAACACTGCTAAAAGTTCACTAGCTACATTTTAGTCAGCCAGCAGCTAACTCTGTGGATGCAATGATGGTTTGAAATACAATGAGGTATTTTATAAAGGAGCTATTTTTAAGTTTTGCTATTGCTCCATAGCCAGTGTTAGCATTTGCCAACGTTACCATGGTTGCATTTACAATAAAAGAGTTTAAAATAAGTCTGAGTAGTACTGCTTCTTCAGGGCAGACTGGACGCTACAGTAGAAAGTAACGAGACAGGCTAACCAGCTACCTCCAGGTTATGAATAACACACAGTTCATATACAGTATACACACAAAAGTGATGATTCTCAATTTGTGATCATTTCTGCCTCTTCTCTCTCTCTCTCTTTCTCTCTCTCTCTCTCTCTCTCTCTCTCTCTCTCTCTCTCTCTCTCTCTCTCTGCAGGCAGCCCAGACAGATGACACTTTGAAGACAGCTGATGCTGTGGTGTCCGTCACCGTTGAAGATGTGAATGATAACGCCCCAGAGTTTGACCAGTCTGAATACTCTGTAACACTTCTGGAAAACTCTCCAGTTAATGCTGTTCTCTTTAAAGCCACCGTCACTGACCGGGATCAGGTACATTTTCAGTTTGAAACCACCACTCAGAAGTGAAGTGATAATTATTAGTAATCTTTAATTTTACTTGTTCCCAGGGAGGATTTGTGGGAACTTTGCAGATCCGTCCAGAATCTGTTCCTTTCTCTATCGGCTCTGATGGCACAGTCCGGGTGAAAAACTCCACAGCTCTGGACAGAGAGACCTCTGACAGCATCACCTTTCAGGTAGACTAATGCTGCTCACACATAGAGCTTAACTTAAAAATAAAAGTTCAGTAGTTTCCCAATTAGCTGGGAACTGTAGTTTTATCAAACTTTACAGAAATAGGAAGAAATAGTGCATTTGTTGGAGACTATTTTTAGCAGCAGATTAATCCACATAGATACACAGTCACAGTACTTGTTTGTATGGTCATTTAGATTTTTTGATTAGATTAGATTTCTTGACAAGTATAATGTAGACTTTCTTTAACAATGCTCTTATACAGAGCAGTTTACAGTGAGAAAGTCAACAATGGCTCAGTGTCTTGAATTAGACAGTTGAACAGAAGAACTGCAACTATTACAAGGACTGTAAATATTTTCAAACTGTGGGAAACAGTCAACGTTGTATCTGTACCTGATTTCATCGTAATCCTAACTCAGCTGCTGTTGTTCTGTTAATTAAAAGATCGAAGCATTGGACACCAATCTACCCAAGAGTGCTGTAGTTGTACCAGTCAGCGTGACTCTCCTGGATGAGAACGACAACAGTCCTAAATTTACCAGCAGCAAATACGAGGGAAAGGTGTTTGCAAATCAGACGGTGGGAATGTTGCTGGTCCAGGTGAGTGATTAAAACAGCTTCTGGTCAGTGTTGGTCAAGCATGTAACACGAGTTATCCAATCAGGACTGGAGTTTATTGGGGTCTTCTTTACGTTGTATATAATATTCTGATAGATTTACATTAAAGGCAGTAACATTCCTGAATTTAAATGGCACTTGGCATGAGACTTGAAGTTGGTTCAGCTCATATTATTTTGATAAAACCCTCATTTTTATATTTGAAGGTTGTCTTTATTTGCAGCAAAAAATAATTAAGGAGTTCCTCAAGGTTCAATTTAAGGTCCCTTTTCTTTTTCTGTTTGCACTACATTAAATGGAGATACATCTGCTGTTTACTTATATGCTGTTCATGAGTTTTATAACAACGCAAGGCCTTTTACAACTTGATGATTCCTGTCATAATTAAAATGCTCTGGATAGTTCACAGATTAATTGACTGCCAAGATTTGTATCCAACCTGTTCTGATGTTGTTTTAGTTTTTTTTCCATTGTCTGTTTTAAATGCTATTAAGAAAACGATCTGTATCATGTAACTCAAAGGTTACGGCAGAGGATCCAGATGCTGATGAAAACGGGCAGATCATATACTCTATTGACTTCGGAAACAACGACGGCTACTTCTCAATCAATGAAAACACTGGAGCTGTCTCACTGGCTAAAACCATTCCACTGCTGGACAACAGGATTTTGGAGTTCCCTCTCTACGTAACAGCCAGAGATGGTAGATCTGCACAATGTGTCTCTGAGTATCCAGCACTACTTACTGCTTCCCAGAATGAGTTATTCAAATTTAAGAATCACTTGCCCTGATTGTGATGATTCAGTTGTTTAAAAGAGACAACATGCACCAAATCACTTAAGCCACAAGAATAATTACAGTTAATCTCCTTCAGAGTAGGTGCTGTATCTCTGCCTAGGGGCAGAATACTTTGCTCTCTGAGGGCTGACACTTGAAAAGACTGCACCTCAATCAGTGGAGTCACATCATCCACTTCACCTTTGTCAGTATCAAATACTTTGTGGTCATAAAATTGTTATCACTCCCTTGTACAGATCGATGATCTCAGGCACATACCTTTATTCACTCCAACTCTCTACAGGACTTAATTACATCTCTCTAACAAGGCCGTTTGAAACATGTAGCCCTGGATAACCTCAACACCAGACCATAGGCTAGCTAAAGTTTGAATCATATTTGACTTGATGAACTCATGCCTCACGGTAAACCCAGGGTTAATATCTTACAACTCACACAGCTTGTGATTTGTAGAGATTTGATTACAGCAAAGAAGCGCTTCACAGAGTGATAAAACTTAAATTTCATTGCTAGCGATCTTGTCCAGCTATAAAAGTCCTGGGCTAAGAGAACTAAAGAGCTAAGAGCTAAATGTCTCAGTAGGCTTCAAAGGAAGTGGTTGTTGTATCATTGAACAGTGTCTGGAAACTTTTTTCCACTCAACGGGAGCTGTGTTCAGCAATTTTAGTAAATTCATGAAACTGACAATCCAACAATCACGGCTGCTTCACACAAATATAAATCTCATCTTTCATAAAACTACTTTGTGAGTATTGACTGACATCATAAACGCACGTGTAAAAGTGCACGTCATATTCCCCTTTTCTATGATTCATTCCAAAGAAGAAATGGTTTTGGAAAGAATTGGGGAAACTGCAGCTACATAACTGTGATAAGATACTAGCAAATCAACAAACCCAAGCTCCTTTTTAACTACCTGCAACTACAGGGAGGGAAGGTGAAAATTATCTATCACATTCAGTATAATAAGTCATTATGATACTCTCCTCTAGGGGGAACCATATCTCGCGCATCCTCAACACTGGTGAACATTCGTGCTCCTGGGGACGGAAACCCTCAGTTTTTACAAAAACTTTACCATGGCACCGTAACAGAAGAGCAGGACCCAGGTGTTGTGATTCTTAAGGTACGTTTTTCAGTGAATTGGTATAAACTGTCATGTTCAAACTAAACTGTCTGTTTTTAAACTACCACATGTTCATCTGACATCAGTCCATTAGTAATAAGGTACTCACTGTTGTGCAGAAGGTGGGATAATTAACTCTATTTCTTCAGGTTAAATTCCTCGAAATTGCTGGTGAGAGTTGGACTCTCCGAGTTGAGACAGAGGCCGACAAGTTTTCCATCTCCCCCACTGGTGACTTCACCACAAGGGTGAAGCTCGACTACGACGAAGCTCCACACAACTACTCTGTGGAAATCTCCATCTCAAATGGGGCCAACAGGGACACTGCAGTCGTCAACGTTCAAGTCACTGACGTCAATGACAACAGTCCTGTTTTTGCCTCCAGTTCCGTCACAAAATCAGTCCCAGAAGACGAAGAGGTAGGATCCAACGTCACGGCTGTTCCTGCTACAGACAAAGACAGCGGCTTCAATAAAGAGATCAGATACTCGCTGAGAGGAGGAGAGGGGAGGTTCTCTGTTGATCCTGTGTCTGGGGTGGTAAGTGTGGCTGGTGCCCTTGATCGGGAGACCAAGGCTGAGTACAACCTGCAGGTGGTGGCTGAAGATCAGGGTCGTCCAGCCAGGTCATCCACAGCCACGCTGCTGGTCCAAGTGTCCGACATCAACGATAACATCCCAGAGTTCTCCATGGCCGAGTACTTGGCTGAAGTCTTAGAGACAGAGTCAGCGGGTACGAGCTTGCTCACATTATCAGCTGTAGACCCCGACGAAGGACCAAATGGGCGAGTTACTTTCAGTATTTTCCAGCAAAGTCCCTCATCAGACCCCGCTGTTTTTGAGTTGGACTCTTCCAGCGGGACTCTGCGGCTGCTCCAGCCTCTGGACTACAGTGAGGTGCAGGAGTACCGTCTGATGGTTCAGGCCTCTGATGGGGGGACTCCCCCTCTGGTTGGGAACAGCTCTGTGGTGGTGAAAGTGAAGGACGTGAACAACAACCCACCTGAGTTCAGTAAGGAAAGCTATGACGTGGCCGTCTCTGAGAACCTGGCCAGTGGTGCGTCCATCCTGACCCTGGAGGTCACTGACAGGGATGAGGTGAGTTACATGCAGCCTGCAGATCACCTGCTCTTACTTTGGTTTATACCACTATGAAAATGTGTTGACAATAGGGAATAATAATGTTTCTTTATCAAAAATAGCATTATTGATTTCAAACACTGTGCTGAGTTCTTGCATCTTCGCAAACTTTATCAGTAGAAAAGCAACTGTACAACTGGAAATTGTCTCAAAGGAGAAGTCAGTTGGGTGATATGCCTTGGGAATTCATCACTAGAGGCTGTGTTTATGTTCCATCTGCTGCCAAAGGTCAAGACCTCAACCATAGAGGGGTCAGATCAGACAACACTGAGATGAGTTAAAGGAAAACTGGTGGCTGACATCAAAGTTCATCGGTAGCCAGGTTCCAAACTTCTGAATCACCCTCAGAGAGTTAAATAGGTCTGTTGTTATGCTCACTAACAATAAACCAATTAGAAGCTTCTAAATGGGATTGAGCATAGGTAGATTATGTTTTGACATAGCTTGCTAGCTAACCAAATACATCCATAAAAAATACAAACAGAAAAATTGCCACAAAAGTTGCAACCTACCTGCGAGTGTCTGACTTTTACACACAAATGAATGTCCGTTACATTCAAGCTGTTTCAAAACAAGTCCACACGATGCAGATCCTGCAGCAGGTAAGTCTTTCTGTATTTCACAGTACACCACTTTGAAATCTGGTGTCTGTGGCGACTTTCACCGGTAGCGATGCGTTTTACGTCAACCAGCAACGGTTGCTTTGCCAGACCTGAAGAGGAGAGCAACTGTGACGATCTACACAGAGTAGGCTACAGTAGGTAGGAGTGTGCTGAAGCCTTTGGCGTAACCTAGGAAGCATCCAAGAAAAAGTTTCTGATGCTTCAGATAAAAAAAGAAACTCTGCGTTCAGAGGAAGCATTACAGTCTAAAAAAAGAAAGCCATCGACGGATGACCATTGGTGTGGCTTTCCCTCGTTGGAGAGCGCTTAAGGAAGAGAAGGGACTGAGGGCAGAAATGGATGTCACCTTACTGCTCTTGGAAAGGTTGGTATTAGTAAAATATCTGGTGCAGGCTAAGTAACCACTACATTTACTCTAACTAAATAATGGATTATGTAGGTAGAGTAAATGTAGTAGTGTCAGTAGTGGTATTGTTATGCAGCATTAGCGAGCTAGCTAGCTATGTTTGTCATTTTGAGAAAATAGGTAACCGTTAAACAGCAACTGTGGGACCTGAGCTGCTGCAGGATCTAAGTAAAGCGACAACACAGTTCTCTTGGTCGTCTCTAAGGTCCAAGTTGGGCTAGTTTAGCTCTTGTCCCTCTTGTTCGTGGCTCAGCCCGGACAGTCCCATCTTCTCCTGGTTGGAGAGCGCTGTAAGAAGTGAAGGGACTGAGGGCGATGGGTTGTCACATTACTGCTCTTGGAAAAGTTGGTATTTGTAAATGGAAAGACTTGAAATGACCACTCCTGCAGACGAGGGAATCGAGTTCACCTGTAGACATACGTTATGAGCGTGTGTTGACAGTGTTTGTGTAATTACTCTCACGGCCAGAAGGGGGGGACAAAAGTTCTTCAACTTTCATAAATAAGACCTGTTTCTCTGCTTTAATGGCATTGGGCCTCATTCACCAACCATTCTTAAGAAGAAATTTCTTCTTAAAAGCCACTTACGCACTTTGTTATTTGGGATTTGTTCTTAGGTAAGAATAGAATCTACACACACTCAAGGGCTCTCTTACACACATTTGAGTGCTGACATGTTTGATCAAAATAAGCAGTTATTGCAGTTTCTTTGGTTCTACAGTTATATAATATTATATTATTTAAATTACAATAATTCTTTTGTCATTTATAATATTTAAAAGAAAATAACTTCATGCATTTTTAAAATAAATTAACGCTACATTAACTCTTAACTGCTCGTTTGCAGCTCACTTCCTGCAACAGTTCCTCCACTTCAGAACCACTAAAGTTCCTTTTACGTTTTGATTCTGGTTCTCTGTCTTGAGATTTTTGTTTGAGCATTTTCTCAACCTTCCCTTACAGTATCTCTTTGTGACTTCTGTCTGTGTCTGCACACGACCTTTCAGTCTCACGCAATTTTAATGGCATTTTCGGGTGTTTTTCTATGCTAGTTAGGGCCGACTGGCACACGCTTTCAATTTACTAGGAGATTGACATTCAGCAATCTAAGAACACAGGTGCGCACAATTCTGCAGTTTAAAAACACGTTCATGAATCTGATGTAGAGTTTTCTTAAGAACAACTTAAGAAAGAATTTAAGAAAATACTTAAGAAGATATTGGTGAATTAGGCCTTTGGGAGGACATGTGTTACTTTCTCCTGATTGTAAATAATCCCAGCAAGAAATCAGCTAAATTGAAAATAAGGTAACAACCTCTAATGTTACCCTGACAGCCGTGATATTCTCACGTTTTTCTTGATCTCTCACAGGGAGGATTTGTGGGAACTCTGCGGATCCTTCCAGAATCTGCGCCTTTCTCGATCAGCCCTGATGGGACGATCAGAGTGAAAAACTCCACAGCTTTGGACAGAGAAGCCACAGAAAGGATCATGTTTCAGGTAACGTAGAATCTCATGACATGCCTACTGATGCGTGGCTTCACACTTTTCACAATCAAGAAAGTAAAGCACTCAAATGCTCAAAAGTTTCCATTGACTTTCTGCAAATGGTCAATGATTTACTTTTTGTTTGAGACATTATTTCAAGTCTACTACTGCTCGCCAGGTTCATAACCATGAGTAACTTTTATGTCCTACTCTGCATCAGGAGACTGATTTTGAGATGCTTGATAAATACATAAGGGCCCCTGTTACATCCTGACGCATCTTTCTTTTGTCCATCATTAAGGTTGAAGCGAGGGAGACAGAACCGCCAAACCATGCCACAATGGCCAATGTGAACATAACTCTTCTGGATGAGAACGACAACAGCCCTGAATTTACCAGCAGCAAGTACGCAAGCAAAGTCTTCACCAACCAAACAGAGGGGATGTTGCTTGTGAAGGTGAGGAGTCTGTACGAGAGGTTTACTGTTTACTGTCCACACAGATATAACAATAGGCAACATTATTCATCTTATTTATGGGTAAACAACATTTACAGTTCAAGTTTTATTTTGGAAAGTGTAGCCTCAGAAGGAAAGAAATAAATATTTGACGGGGCTGGGGAGAAATTACAGTTGAAAGAATGTCACAAAAAAATGATAATGAAAATGTAAAATTTGTAAAATTGGATTCACATGGAAACTGTTAACGTTTTTAACATTATATTTACATGTAAATTTACTGCATCATATTCACTGTGTGCAATATAACAAAAAACACGTAAAAAAAAACACTTAACAGTATTAAATACATTCACACTTTTCCACCTTACAACTGTGGAACAAATAAACAACAACAGATTTTGAGATTCCACAGTTGACCAGTCTTAGTCATCATCCCCTCCTTCCCTCATTTACTGTTTCCATGTCAAATAGTTATTGTTCAACAATAAAGTGATGTCTATTTAGTTTAGTTTATTTGACCATATGAGACAGAGGACACTAAAATTACAACAACTACAACTACAAAAATTTAACAAGTGCCAGCTATCATCAATAAAAGATACTTCAATACACACATTTCAAAAATAAATGATAAAAATTCACATACAAATTAAGGCTACAAGTATTATTTTGATATGCAAATGTACTTTGATCCAAATCCTGGCACCACACGATCTAAAGCATTTTGTTAGACGGGATTGGTCAATAGTTTTCTTGAAAATGATGCTGAAGAATTTAACCAATCAAAGAAACGCCCCCAGATCAGGCTGATAACTGAAAAAACTTTTTTCTTCTCTATGATGGGATTCAAAGGTCGAGGCAGAAGACCCAGATGCAGGTGTGAATGGACAGATCAAATACTCCATTGACTTTGGGAATCAAAACAACTACTTCTCTATTGATGAAAACACGGGAACCATCACGCTGACGAATCTCATTCCACTGGAAGCACTTAAAACCTTACAGTTCTTATTGTTCATCACGGCCAGAGATGGTAACGTAAACTATATTTTCTTTTTCCACTTGAGTTCAGTTCAGTAAGTTACAGTGAGGTGGTGATAATGTTATTCCCGTCTCTCCCTCTAGGGGGCGTAGTGTCCCGATCCGCCTCAGCACAGGTGGAGATTCTCGCTGTTGGAAGTTCAAAACCGCAGTTCACACAGAGCAACTACAGTGGCACCATAGAAGAAGAGAGAGATCCGGGAACAGTGATCCTGAAGGTGAGCTCTTCAAATGAGCACAGCGGATCTCTGAATACTTTTTGAGGAAACTTGATTGGAAATATCAGACAGATATCTGACAGTGAATAATATGATCCTTTTCTTCACTACGTGTTCAGGTTGGGATCTTTGCAGCAGGAGAAATTCCTTGGACTCTCCGAGTTGAGACAGAGGCCGACAAGTTTTCCATCTCCCCCACTGGTGACTTCACCACAAGGGTGAAGCTCGACTACGACGAAGCTCCACACAACTACTCTGTGGAAATCTCCATCTCTGACGGGGACAGCAGGGACACTGCAGTCGTCAACGTTCAAGTCACTGACGTCAATGACAACAGTCCTGTTTTTGCCTCCAGTTCCATCACAAAATCAGTCCCAGAAGACGAAGAGGTAGGATCCAACGTCACGGCTGTTCCCGCTACAGACAAAGACAGCGGCTTCAATAAAGAGATCAGATACTCGCTGAGAGGAGGAGAGGGGAGGTTCTCTGTTGATCCTGTGTCTGGGGTGGTAAGTGTGGCTGGTGCCCTTGATCGGGAGACCAAGGCTGAGTACAACCTGCAGGTGGTGGCTGAAGATCAGGGTCGTCCAGCCAGGTCATCCACAGCCACGCTGCTGGTCCAAGTGTCCGACATCAACGATAACATCCCAGAGTTCTCCACGGCCGAGTACCTGGCTGAAGTCTTAGAGACAGAGTCAGCGGGTACGAGCTTGCTCACATTATCAGCTGTAGACCCCGACGAAGGACCAAATGGGCGAGTTACTTTCAGTATTTTCCAGCAAAGTCCCTCATCAGACCCCGCTGTTTTTGAGTTGGACTCTTCCAGCGGGACTCTGCGGCTGCTCCAGCCTCTGGACTACAGTGAGGTGCAGGAGTACCGTCTGATGGTTCAGGCCTCTGATGGGGGGACTCCCCCTCTGGTTGGGAACAGCTCTGTGGTGGTGAAAGTGAAGGACGTGAACAACAACCCACCTGAGTTCAGTAAGGAAAGCTATGACGTGGCCGTCTCTGAGAACCTGGCCAGTGGTGCGTCCATCCTGACCCTGGAGGTCACTGACAGGGATGAGGTGAGTTACAGCACCTGCTTCTGTTGTGTGAAATGATTTGGAGGATAAAAGAATTGCTGGTTTATCCATTTCTAAATAAGTAACTAAACTGTACATTATTCACAAAGAGGTTCACTCGCGGAGGTAACAGTATTCCTCTTCCCGCCTTTGTTTGTCATTTCTTGGCGCAGCAGCGTGAAAGTGTTGGCAGGAGTATGGGGTGTTACATACGTGTTCGTACTGCATCTTACATACAAGAGATACAGACAGAACAGCTGTAAAACAGATTCATTTTTGGGCTGTTTTTCTCCCATCAACCTGCAACAGCTAACTACTGGTTTCCTCATCTAAACCTGATCTGATTAAGGAAGTTTTACCCTTTACTAGATAAGATCAATCTGTCTTTATGAAAAGGCTTTTGTACCGCAGTCCTTTTAAAGTAGCTGTAATCTTCTTAAACCTCATCTTAAAAAGCCTACTCTTGATCCAGTTGTGTTAGCCAGTTATAGACTTCTATCTAATCTTCCCTTTCTCTCTGAGATCTTTGAGAAAGCAGTTACGAGTCACTTGTGTGACTTTCTACAGAACAGTAGTTTATTTGAGGATTTTCAGTCACGATTGAGATGCATCGTAGCACAGAGATGGCACCGTGGAAAGTTACAAATTACCTTTTAATTGCATCAAGGGACGTGTGTCATACTGGTCTTGTTAGTTTTTAGTGCTGCTTTTGATACCACTGACCATCACGTCCTATTACAGAGACTGGAACATTTAATTGGCGGTAAAGGAACTGCACTAACCTGTCCTATTAAACAGATCGATTTCAGTTTGTACATGTTCTGCAGCGATGTTCCACAAGGTTCTGTGCTTGTACCAGTTCTTTTCACCTTATATCTGCTTCCTTTCAACAATATTAGTAGGAAACACTCCATAAACGTTCAGTCTTATGCAGATGATACCCAATTATACTTCATCATTGAAGCCTGATGAAAGACCTGGATGACCTGCAATTTTTTGCTATTAAACTGAAGTTGTACTTTATCTAAACACATTATCTAATTGCCCTGGCCTTGAGCAGTACCATAAGGAATCTCTCTCTGCATTATATTTGATCAGGATATGTTCTTTAACACCCACATAAAACAAACTTCTTTTCACTGACGTAACATTGCAAAAGTCCTGTCTCTAAAAGATGAAGAAAAAACGAGTCCAAGCATGTATCACTGCTTGACTTGTTTATTTCAGTTTCTTATTATCATGATGTCCCACTAACTCTGTGATAAAAACCTCCATGGATCCAAAGTGCTGTCTACTGACAGGAACTAGGATCACTATCTAGATCATGTCTCTCCTGTGTTAGCGTCTCTGCATTGGCTCCCTCTAAAACCCATATAATTATAATTTAATATATAATTTAAGGTCATGGTATCCTATTACCCCACTAAGAACATGGAGGCAGAGTGTTCAGCTGTCAGACTCCTCTCCATGTCTAAGAGTAGCTTTAAAACTTTCCTCTTCCATAAAGCTTACAGTGATGGCTGACGCAGACTTTTCCTTGAACCGTCTTGTAGTTATGCTTAGACTGCCGGAGCACTTCCCAGGATGCACCCAGCTCCTTCATATCCCATTAATACATGTTACTAACTCGTCTTCCTCTCTCTCCTGTAGTTTTGTGTTTTCTCTCCCCGTGTTTCTCTCTGCAGGTATTTCTCTGTCTGGAGTTGTAGAGTTTGGATCTGTGACTGCAAACCACCTCCTGCCCCCGTGATCCTGCAAAACTACTATTATTATTATTATTATTGTTATTAGTATACATATCTCTCTTTTAACCCAGCCGGTCGAGGCAGACGGCCGCCCACCATGAGCCCGGTTCTGCTCGAGGTTTTTCCTCGCCACTGTCACCAAGTGTTTGCTCATGGGGGGAAAGCTGGGTATCTGTAAATAATTTTGTTAAGAGTACAACCTAGACCTGCTCTACATGTAAATGCCCGGAGATAACTTCTGCTACATCAATAAAACTGTCTCGATTTGACTTGTTTATAAGAACACTGGCGCCAGTGATGGTCAACAACGCTGCACGGTGCCAATATTAAATAAATAAAGAATGAATTTTTACCGAAAATGTCGTTAAAAATCTCGTCAATTATTTCCACATCAACCTCCAAAACTCTGAATATCTGAGAGTAAATATATTGTGAAATAAAAAAAACAAACAACAGATTATTGGTTGGTCTGCCAGTTCACACAGGACTTATCTTTGTGTTTGGTGAAACAGATACAGTATTTTGTAGAAGCAGTTTTTCAAATAGATTTAAAAACTTGCCAGATTTATATCTGATGAAAACCCAGATCAGCAGAACTTTGTGTCCTCCTTACATCTGGACCTTGGCACCACTGCTTTGTGATGACAGGCATTTTTAAGGGCAACCATTTCTCGGATCATACTTTATTACAGTTCAGATAAGTTCTGTATCTGTTGTTGTTTCAATGCTGATGATTAACTCTGACTAAGAGTTGAAGTATTTAACACCCTTCGTCTTTATCTTCTTCTTCAGGGTGGATTCTCTAATGGTCACTTCGTCTATGCCAAAGACACCTTTGACATTAACAATCAAGGTGTGGTCTCACTGAGGAAGGACGTCACCTTGGATAGGGAGACTAAGGATAGCTACATATTACAGGTACAAACATTATTATGTTTCCAATCTCCTGTTTTTCTCCTACGTCCAAAACACACACCAGTTTATATCTCCAGGGTTACCAGACAAAACACCATCTGATACATATTCACGTATTTTGTACAGTATTGTTTAGAAATGTATTAACGTGTTTATTCCTTGGTGTAAACATGGTGTGTAGAATCTATAATCAATACTTATTTTTGTGTCATAAACTTGAGGAAATTTCACAGAATTTTTTTGAAATACTTTCTTTGCATATTGAAGGGAAAAAAACAATCTTGCTGTGACACTTTGAAAATTCTCCCAAAATAATTATAGAAAACATTTTTTAAAATGTTCATGTATGAATACAAAAACATATAAAGGTATGTGAATATGTACAAAACATGCCATTAATAAGTTACTACATTTTTGCATTTATTTCATACTGTTTGAAATTCAGGTCTCAATTTATCTTCTTCTATATCCTCTTCTATATTTAATTATATCTTTGAATTTAAATTTAACCTGTTAAGTATCTGTGATCTCAGCACAAGATTTTTTTTCATATAGTTTTTTTTCATTTATTATTTGCAGCACAATAATTAATTTTCACATTACAGAAACAAAAGAAAATAAATGTGGAAATAGAAGCACTATTTTCTTTGTGTTTTTTTTTATTTTTTATTCTTTTATTTATTTTTCCTTTATATTCCTTTTTTTGGCACTCCTATGAATCCGTAGCCTGGAGGTTTTTTTATGAGTAAAAAACGTATTTTATAAAACAACTCTGTAAAAGCTGTGTTTATGTTGTTTTGTGTCGTCCTGTGTTTTCAGGTCGTGGCGGTGGATCAGGTGACCGGCGGTCTGAACGCCACAGCTGAGCTCAACATCACAGTCCTGGACTACAACGACAACGCCCCACAGTTCCCAGTAATCCCAGACCCCCTGCGGATCCCTGAGGGAAACTACTCAGAGGAAAACCCAAGAGAGGTTTTCACCATCGTGCCCACGGACATCGACCTCGGCCTGAACGGAGAAGTCACCGTCTCCCTCCCCGCCCCTCACCCACTCTTTAGATTCAGAGAGGTGAGGCCAGGAGAGAAGACTGTGGAGAGGTTTTTTTCAGTCTTCACCGTGTCAGCGCTCAGTCTCAGAGTTCATGTGTTGTGTTGCAGGACGGGACGCTGCTGGCTGTCGGGCCTCTGGATCGGGAGAGCAGGGAAACGTACGACCTGGTTGTGAAAGCTTCAGACAGAGGCGACCCACAGAGAGAGGTGAGAGACAGAGCCTGTAAACACACACTGTCACACACAAGTTCATGCAACTGTTTTATGAGTGTTTTAACCAAATGAGGTTATGCACATTAAAAAAATCATAAAATGAAAATTTTCATGGCATATGTTCTGAGTTATATGGCCATTTGGGAATGAAAGTCCAGCTTATACTTCAGAGAGAGAAAGAAATAAAGAAAACATTTTGAAATAACAAACCTTTCAACAGCATAATATACGTCGAGAATGTAGATTAAATGTCTTTATTAAACTAACCGTTGTGCACCAGAACATCACCACCGTCAGAGTGAGCCTCACCGACATCAACGACAACAGACCCGAGTTCAGCTCCAGCAGCTACGTCAGCAGCGTCCTGCTGAAAGACGCGGAGGAGGGGAAGCTGCTGCTGACGCTGTCCGCCACCGACGGAGACGCCGGGGACAACTCGCTCATCGCCTACAGGCGAGTTCAGATCAGATCAGCTGACTGTACAATCATTCACACAGCCCGGTTCCAACACTTTGGTAAAATTTGGTAAAAACTTGTGAGAGTTACAGTGAATTTTTTACATTTCTGCACTAATTTGTGTCTCTTAAGAATTTCTGATTTAACTGACTCTTAATCAAGATATTCTGGTGTTGTTAAATTTCTATGGAGCCCTGGAGCGGTCATTGAGAAGATTTATATCGAGGCCATGTTTTACAAATTTGAACTCTTGAACGAAATACAATTTGTTCCCATGTTTTGATTCATTTGTTTCCTCGTTTTAATGAATTCTTTCGCTCTTTTTGATTCATTTGTTCCCACATTTTGATTCATTTGTTCCCTCGTTTTGATTCATTTGTTCTGTTTTGATTCATTTGTTCCCTCGTTTTGATTCATTTGTTCCCATGTTTTGATTCATTTGTTCCCTCGTTTTGATTCATTTGTTCCCAGGTTTTGATTCATTTGTAGACACAAATGTGGAGAGCCAGCACAACAGACCAGTTATCTTGTGTTTACTTCTGCACACAAGTTAATTAAAACATGGGATTTTCTAATTGATTATATAACAGTTTATTGTTATTGTTTGGTCTGATGTGATTTTCACATATTATATTTGTTTAGTATCTTACCCTGTTTAAATGTTGAATTTGTTGTTTGCTCTCTGTCGTTGCAGTTTCTCAGAAGGAAGTTCTCCACATTTGGCCTTAAACAGCGAGACCGGGGCAGTGACCTTGACCTCTGACCTCGCTGATGTCACAGAGGACACAACACTGAAGCTGACAGCCATGGCCAAAGACCACGGTCGGCCTCCTCTGAACTCTACAGGTCAGTCTGAGGGCCATGTAGTTTGGCTCGACGTTAGTAACGTACAAGTCTCCATGTTGCCTGTGTGTTAGTAACTGAAGCAGCACTTTCACTTTGACATGTGGGTTGTGATGCAACATCAAGGGCAGCATCATTTATTAAATAATTTAATCAGTATTGTAAGATTTCAAAAATGATGTGGAGGAAGAAGTCGTCAGATTCATCTAAGTAGCAAGAGAACAACATCAGAATATCATATTACAGTCCTGAATTAAATAAGATTTCACTAAAACTAGAGACATTTTATGAAATTATGTTTAAAGCATCATAAGTAAAAATGTGTTATTATTATTTACAACTGTATTATACTATCATTGTTGATGCAGTAACACGTAAGCGGTTTGTATTTACAGTCTTGGCCTCTGTAGAAACTACACCTGTCGGATAAATGCAGTGAAATGTTTTGGAGTAGAAGTTTAAAGTAGAATAAAATGAACACACTCAATATATGACTTCACAGCAACTTCACAGTGATCTGTCTGAAATTTAAATTAGACTATTTATAATGTGACTATAATAAATGAAAATCACATATGATTGAATATCATTTAAACAGGGCAATTATAAAATATAATATATATAATAATAATAATATACAAGATATAAAATATGTGCTGTAGAGAGTAAGTGTGTTGCGTCTTCCTGCAGTTCCTGTCGTGGTGAATCTGCGTCTCGTCAGTCTGGTGGAGGGCGTCGCTTTCCGGAGCTCCTCTTACAACTTCAGCCTCCCTGAAAACCAGGCGGCGGGGGTCGCAGTGGGGAGGGTCTGGGCCTCGTCAGGAAGTGACCTTTACGATGTCGCCTACGCGCTGAAGACACACATGGACCTGTTCTCCGTCAACGCCAGCGGAGCCATTGTGACCAAGACGCAGCTGGACAAGGAAAAGCAGGAGTGGTACATCCTGGACGTGGAGGCCGTGGACACAAGGTCCCCCCCTACGACGGCCACCGCAGTGGTACGACCTGTTAGAAATACAGTTTGAATTTCAGTTCTTAATGCTTCTGTACTCTGGGGTCTGTCGAGCATCTCCAGTAAATCACTTAATGTCCTTCCAGTGGATGAAAAAGCAGAGGTGCAACTTGCAGACAGAGTGTGTATTGACGTATTGATGGGAACTGGTTACGTTCCGTGTCCTTTGAGTGAAAGTTGCTCATCAGGAATATAAAAAGTTATCAGCCTTGATCTGATAGGGTTAGGGTTAGTTTAGTTGAGGGTTAGTTTAGTGGATATTTATCTAATATTAAAGTATTTTATGGGGCGATATTGTTCAGATTTTAACCAAAGCTAAAACCTTGTTTGAGAAAAAGAAATCTTTGCTTTAACAACAGTGAAACCTTTTGAATATTATGCAATTTTTATTTAATTTATCTCTTTAAATCTATTTTATTGAATCTCATTGTCAGATTTCTTACTTGGATTTGTCCTTTTTTCTTTTTAGCTCATCTTTCATCTGTGAAGCACTTTGAACTGCACGAACCTGTATGAAAAGTGCTATAGAAACATTGGATTGATTGATTGATAGCTTCGTCATTAGTTTGTTTTTCTCATTGATATCTGTTCGCAGTCTCTTTAGTCATCCTGCTGAGAAACAAAGAGAAGAACACATGATATATAGATTATATAAAACTCATCCTCTTCAGTATCTTCACCTGTTTTTCTTTTTCTGTCCTTTCCTCAGGTCAGAGTTCAGGTGGAGGACGTGAACGAGTCTCCACAGTTTCACCCTGAGGTTTATAAAGCCTCCGTCTTCAGCATCGCTCCCTATAAAACCTCCGTCACCCGCGTCAACGTAAACAACACTCACACACACAAACACACACACGCACACACACACACGCACATATATCAGCTTCCATCAGTTTCCGTTAGTCGGGAAACGTCGTGACAGTTTGGAGAAACACTCTTGAACTTCAGGCTTTTTTATCTCCTCTGTGTTGTGTGAAGGCTCAGTTACTGAGGCAGTGATAAACAGTGGTTGTGTACTTTGACCTGACACACATGCAGCAGACTGTGATGTGGTTAATGTGTGCGTGAGCAGCAGTGAAACTCGTCACATCGTCAGAGACAGTTTATCTGAACACTCACTGAACGTTTCCAACGTTTCCCATGAGTCTCTGCCGAGGAGCAACAGCACCGAAAACTTCTTCAGACCAATTCTCCCAGAACTTAATCTGCTTTTAATTTGAAATTTTGAAATCAAACAAGAATAAATACATATTTTTCTCCAGAGCCAGAGATACTGAGGTCACAGGTTTGCATAGTACCAGTCTCGCATTTCACATTTACACACCTGTCACCGAGCTACGATTAAAAATGGATATTTGTACAGAAACAGAGATAATCTTCCTCTGATCAGCAGGAAGCTGATGACTTGTCTGTCCTGGATTATGATGATGTCACTGATAGACACGCCTCCACTCTAAAACCCCATAGATCCAGTTGTTGACAGTTATTCCAACGCCAGGTTTGCTGGGCGTCTCTCACAGTGACACGTGACCTTTTATTTACGGCAGTTTATTACTCCGGTCCCATCATCATAATGTGACACACTGACGTTCAAAGTCTTGCATACAAACATTAATGTTGGAACATTTGGCAACACACATTAAAACTGAACACAGCCGTGATCACACACTCCTGCGCTCTTGAATGTAACTGTTGTTAAGTGTTGTTTGTTTGTTTTCTAATTCATTATTTTTGTGTGTATTCAGTGTTTTAAGAGTTCTCCTGAAGTGAGACCATTTAAATAAAAGTTGAATGGATCAAAAAGTAGGTAGAGAGGTGAACTACATGTCCCAGAAAGCACTGCTTCAACTTTTAGGTGAATTCAGGATAAATTCTGCAGCTGTGATTTGGTCCCAGCTGCAGAAATCAGTTTAACAAACTGAGGAAAACACATGAATCCAACAGATAACCAGTCCCTGTGATGTGTGATGAGAAGTGATGATTTAATAGTTGAAATCACTTCAAATGTGTATTTCAGAGGAACTGGAAACAGAAAATTAGATTTATACATTATAATATGAGCAGAAAAATCTCTCCAGCAGAAAAAATGAACATGAAACATCTGTTTATATTTTGACCCCCCCCCCCCCTCCAGGCGACAGACCCTGACGTCGGTGAGGAGGGTCAGCTGGACTACAGTCTGTCAGCGGAGAGTCCTTACTTTGACGTGGACCCGTCCTCGGGTCTGGTCTACGTGGTCTCAGTGGCAGGTCTGGCTGGACAGACGGCTGCAGTGGAGGTGAAGGCCACAGACCCCCGAGGACTTCACGCTACAGCCAGGGTGGAGGTGAGTGCGGAGGGCTGGAGGAAATAGATCCAAGCCCTGAAGATTTTTTTTTTTTTTTTTAATAAATAAAATAGAAAGTAAAAATAAAATTTCAGCAGCTCACATGGGAAAGTTGTTATTGAATAAAGTTTATTAGGAGATTAAAAATTTACATTTCAGCTGCTCGAACGGATCAAAATCTTTAAGAAGATCCATGACGGTCGACAGCTGCTGGATCAGAAAATCACCAGGTTTTATTCTGTTAAACACAAATTAAATAGTTTTACTTCTTTCTGAGCCGAATCACATGAAGCTGATCCTGATCCTGATCCTGATCCTGATCCTGATCTGTTCTGATATCGTCACTTTAATAAGACTCTAGCAAAATGTTTTCAAATTCATTTCAAATTAATCATTTATTTTACTTATGAACATGTTCTGTTTAGGTCCTTAAATCATAACACACATTTTCATACATTAAGATCCTTAAATCTTGCACTGTAAAAAACTGTGAAAACTAAAAACTGTAAATGTCCTGATTTATTTAATTATTTATTAATTAATTAATTTAATTATCGTATTTTGAAAATAGGTTTTTATTTTTAGTTTATTAATTGTATTTATTTATCTTACTGCTTCATGTGTACTCTGCCGTTCACTAACACGAACTAAACTGGTATTTTCATTGAACGTAATAAAAATAGATAAAAAAATAAAATTACAACTCTTATGAACCACACACCCTCTCTACTGCCCCCAGGTGGCCGTCCAGGGAAATGCGAACAGCGGCAACATGGTGACCATCTCCCTCAACCAGCCGGCCAACATCGTGGAGAAGAAAGTTCCAGAGTTAGAGAAGTAAGTTTATTATTTCACTATTCATTTAGTTTGGAGATTTATTCCTCCCTGTTTTCATGGTTGTAATTGTTTTTCTCTCTCAGGTCTTTAGGTTCGGCTCTGGGCTGGACCGTGACGATCATCCAGGTGTGGAGCTCTAACGGAGGATCCACCGAGTCCAGAGCACTGAGAGCGGATGTGAGGACGATGGTCAGCTTCATCGCTGCGGACAGAGAGGAAGTCCTTTCCTCTGAGGAAGTCGTAAAGTAAGAGCTTGATTTTTAACTCTGATTGTTTTCAAATGACTGAAAAATTTAATTCCAGCACCAGATTTTCATGTTAAATTCCCCTAATCTACCTTTTCATAAACACATAATTTCATTGTGCTTATTTGTACTGAATATATACATATATAAACACAATAATGCAGAATATTTAAAAGTTCTGAGGGGGATGTCTTTAAATTACGTCTCTTTTCATATTCAAATTTCTGTGATATAAAACACAAAAGAGAAGCTGGAAAAACCAATTGATCGGCTTTTTGCTCACTTTATAAAATACTTTATAATAATTAATATATAACTAGGATTGTTGTTAATTAATTTTCTGTCAGCCAGTTGATCAATAAACATAAAATGTAATTTCAAGACAAGTTGTTTCTGTCAGTTTTCATGTTGTTGACAGTTAAAGCTCCTCCAGTGTAAAGGTCTGTGTCCATGTGTAGTGTGATTATAGATCAGCTCTAGCTTCTATATTAATACTGTGAAAGTATCAAAGCCTCAGTCCACAGAGAAATGCACACAGCCTGTATTCAGAAACTGAGCCTTAAAACCAGCCGTCAGGACTTCTGGAACTTTGTGATGTCACAACAAAGCAGTCACCAAGCCCCGCCCACCTGGACCCACCATCCAAACCTTGCAGGATTTGGTTTCTCTGAGTGTTTTTACCTGAATTCTGCTGTTTGTGTTGGAGCATCATGCACCATCCTGACCTCTGACCTCTGTGTGATCACCAGTAAACTGCAGAGCCAATCAGCTGCTGTGAGCGCCGAGCTGGTCAAAGTGTTTGGGGAGGGGCTTCATTTCAAGGTAGAGCTGAAGCCTCAAGAGTCCGCCTCCAACCACGCCGTGGTCATCGCTCTGGGTGTCCTGCTGGCCTTGAGCATCGTGGGATTGATCGTTGCCGTCACCTTTGTTATCAGGTGAGTCTGGAGAGCAGCAGCAGCTTCAGACTGGTGACGTTTCTCTGGTGATGGTGCAAAGGCGGCGAGTTCATCATATTCAGTGTGTGTCAGTGTTGTGTTCACAGCTCGTTACCATGGTGGACAAAACGCTGATTTCATTTTCGGTTGATCGACTCATTAAGTGATTGCTTCAGAAACATCTGGGATCAATCTCAGTATTCTAAAAAAAAAAATGTCACGATCAAAATCAGAGTCGTGTTTATCAAACTTTGAAGAATGACACAGAAGTTTTTACTTTAGAGAAAAAGTTTGAGTTTGACAAATAAGAAAAATTCTATAGTGACTGCCACCTACGAGAAGGAATGACCAATCAACCAATCAGGGTAGAGACTAATAATCAGAATAATTTTTAAAAGTCACATAAATTGATGGTGTATAATATCTTCTATCATTTTACCATGTGTACAATGACTCATTTTTCTATCATCAAAAATGTATAATTTGACTTTGAGAATTTGTTTTATTAATTGAATTGTCTGTGTTTAATATTTTTATCTCTAAGATAATTTAATCAGGAAAAACTGCAAAAATAAAGTGACTACACCAAAATGGTAATAAACAAAGAAGAAATAATAATAAAAATATTTGGATAAAGTTTACACAGATCGTAATTAGATGTTTAAAAGTCTGTAAAACTAATAATACTCTTCAACGCAGCAGTAAAATGACATGTACAAGGTAAATTACTTGTTAACAGTACGTGTCCTGAAACCTTTTTTATTTGTAATTTCAAAGCAGCTTTTTCAGGGTTAATTAAAATTGTAGTTAAAGTTCAAAGACATGGATTAAATATTTTTAATGCCCAAATATCAGGATGAATGAATTTCAGTGTCATTATGTGTTTCACCTCTCAGGTTCAAGGTGAAGGAGAAACATCAGGATTCTGACAAAGAGAGTTTTGACATTAACCTAAAAGCTGAAGGTTACACGTGAGTCCTCTTTAAAAAGAAACTCCTGACTCTTCATCACAGTTCTGCTTGAGATCTGTTTTTAAATATATACATATATATATATATATATATATATCTGTTGTTTCAGGAACTGGGGTCAGAAGATTTCTGAATCTTCTGCACAGGTAAAAACAAACCACATGATCTGTTCACGTTCAAGGTGTTTAAATGAAAGTGAAACAGAAGGGAAATGTTGACTAGCGGTTTGTGTCACAGGGACAGACGAGGTTAGAGGAGGACAAGCAGCAGAGGACCGACAGAGAGACAGACGACGAGTGGACAGTGAAGACGGACAGCGACAGTGTGAGAGGTCGAGAAGACAGAAACAGTGGCGGTCATGAAAGCCGCACTTCTGCTCTCTGATCTGAACACGGCAGCTGTCAATCAAACTGTACGGAGTGTGGAGAGTGCCACTAAAATATAATTTACCACAGCTGACCAATCAGAGCTTCTGTTGCTGCACTGTGGGTTGGACACAATTTAAGATAATGAGTCGTCTTTAAATTAAACTGTCGACAAACAAAAGCTCTGCTCACATTCAGAGTTTGTATGTTTCCTTGAGGCTTTACAAACTTGTATGTATTTATTTCCTCATAATTTGTATTGAAATATACGCACATATAAATATATATATATGTGTGTGTGTGTGTGTGTGTATATATATTATATACATAGCATTGTTAAAATTTATCTTTATTGGCTTTGTTCTTCAAACAATTGGACTCATTGATAAAAACATTCCTCTGTAGCTACAAAAAATCCACTAAGTAACTTAAAATCTACTGCTGATGATATGAACATACAGATACTGACAAAGGCCACATCAGTAAATGGTGGGAGGGAAAAAATCAGAATTTCCTTCTGAATTTATTTTGCAATTTAAATCTAAAATTTATCATAAAAAAGGTTTTTATTTTATTATATTTTAAAAAAGCAACACGCTACTTGATGTCTCCCAGTTTAGCATTTCTAAGCAGTAATGTAGTTACAAGCAGATCTTGTTTATTAATATTCAGTATTTGACAACAATTTTACAACAAATAACAATTGTGTTTTACTGTGTTGTCATTCATGATCTGTTGTGAGTTGTTGACAAATATATTAACACTTAGATCTTACAACTACATTATACTGTTAAAAACCAATTATCAAATGTTTATCTACTGCATATTAGTGCTAATTTAACATTTTAACACAAAATGAAAAAAATAAAATGTTTTGATTGGTACATTAACTTCATTAATACATATATAATAACTTTCTAGTTTCAATATATGTAATGTATACCCTCAGACTCCAAACAAGGAGAGACCTCAGTGGCAGCTTTTACTTTCTTTAGTTCAACCTGTTTTCTTCACTGATGTCAGATGCTGTCGTTCAGTTTAACATTTTTCATCATCATGTCTTTAAAATATGTCTTAAACAAGCTGATTTTACAAGAGACACTTAGCTGCCAGATTTCTCTTTTTTTTTGTCTTGTTTTAGGTTATGGAGACTATCACATCATGTGACTAAATAATTGACAAAATGAGAAGATGAAATGTTTTTTGGACAAATGTTTGTGTCGCTTTATGCTAAAGATTTCACTGAGTATCAAATGTCATTGCAATTAAATGTAATTATCAGTCTGAGTATTATGTCAGCTGGGTAATTACATAAAACTGAGCTGATCTGTCAAGATTATATGTATTTTCGTTTTTTAATTTTCTTAATGCACTTTATCAGTAAAAATGTAAATATCACCACAGCTCTACAGTAACTCTGGAACATAACTACAACAACAACAACAACAACTATCAAAAGCACTTTCCTGTAATAAAATGAATTTTAATTGTGTCAGTTCATTTTATTTCATCTGAAATTTTCAAGGTATTAAAGAGTAGTGATGAGATTGTCGTGAAATCTGAGTGGTTTGATTATATCTGATGGCTTCATTAACAACCACAAGGATTTGACCTGTCAGCTGTGACCTGAAGATTTGAAGGCATGAAATTTCAAAAAATGTCATAGTATATTAAATAAAATGTCAAAATATATAAGAGTATAGTAAGGCATAACATTTCAAAAAACATCACAGTATGGTAAGGCATAAAACGTCAAAAGATGTCATAGGATAGTAAGGCATAAAATTTTTAAGAAATGTGATACTATAGTAAGGCATATACGAAAAAAAAAATTGTACTATAGTAAGGCATAAAAAGTGAAAAAAACATCATAGTGTAGTAAAGCATTGAAAAAAAATAACGTCATAGTGTAGTAAGGCATAGAAAGTGAAAAAAACGTCATTTCAGTAAGGCATGAAAAGTGAAATAAAAATCAGTATAGTAAGGCATACAAAGTCACAAAAACGTCATAGTATAGTAGGGCATAAAAAGTCATAAGAATGAAATAATATAGTAATGCATAAAACATAGTATAGTAAGGCATAAAACGTCATGGTATAGTAAGGCATAAAAAGTGATGAAAACGAAATAGTATAGTAAGGCATAAAAAGTCATAAAAACGTCATAGTATAGTGAAGCATGAAAAGTCATAGTATAGCGAGGCATAAAAAGGCATAAAAAGTCATAGTATAGTAAGGCATAAAAAGTCATAAAAACGACATAGTATAGTAAGGCATAAAAAGTCATAAAAAGATCATAGTATAGTAAGGCATAAAAAGTCATAGTATAGTAAAGCATAAAAACTCATAAAAACGACATAGTATAGTAAGGCATAAAAAGTCATAAAAACGTCATAGTATAGTAAGGCATAAAAAGTCATGAAAACAACATAGTATAGTAAGGCATAAAAAGTCATGAAAACAACATAGTATAGTAAGTCATAAAAAGTCATAGTATAGTAAGGCATAAAAAGTGAAGAAAAACGTCATAGTATAGTAAGGCATAAAAAGTCATAAAAATGTCATAGTATAGTAAGGCATAAAAAGTCATAAAAACGTCATAGTATAGTAAGGCATAAAAGGTCATAAAAACGTCATAGTATAGTAAGGCATAAAAAGTCATAGTATAGTAAGGCATAAAAAGTCATGATATAGTAAGGCATAAAAAGTGAAGAAAAACGTCATAGTATAGTAAGGCATAAAAAGTCATAAAAATGTCATAGTATAGTAAGTCATAAAAACGCCATAGTATAGTAAGGCATAAAAAGTCATAAAAACAACATAGTATAGTAAGTCATAAAAAGTCATAGTATAGTAAGTCATAAAAAGTCATAGTATAGTAAGGCATAAAAATTCATAAAAACAACATAGTATAGTAAGTCATAAAAAATCATAAAAAGTCATAGTATAGTAAGGCAGAAAAAGTGAAGAAAAAAATCATAGTATAGTAAGGCATAAAAAGTCACAGTATAGTAAGGCATAAAAAGTCATAAAAACAACATAGTATAGTAAGGCAGAAAAAGTGAAGAAAAACGTCATAGTATAGTAAGGCATAAAAAGTCATAGTATAGTAAGGCATAAAAAGTCATGATATAGTAAGGCATAAAAAGTCATAAAACCAACATAGTATAGTAAGTCATAAAAAGTCATAGAAAGTCATAGTATAGTAAGGCATAAAAAGTCATAAAAATGTCATAGTATAGTAAG